TGGGCATTTTAGCCTTTAATTGACAGGACAGACAAGTGTGAAAGGGGGAGAGAGAGGGGATGACATGCGGCAAAGGGCCACAGGCTGGACTTGAACCCGGGCCGCTGCGGCAACAGCCTTGTACATGGGGCGTCTGCTCTACCACTAAGTCACCGACGCCCCACAGATTAAGAAATTTGACAGTGTTTCCAGAGCAGCAGCCATGTTTATTCCTTTTGAACATCAGCGTCAACACCAGTAGCAGCACAGCAAGAGTGCCCATCCAGTCAGGAGTCAGAAGGTGTGACAGAACAGTCCTGCTACTGTTCATTGACTCTGGGTATAATCAACACACCACAGTGCTCATTCACACCACACACTGTACACTCGTCCTCAACTTTCCTCTGTAAATAATCGCAGTAATTTATTCCCCTTCGACTATTCTATCTACTATCCTGTCTTGTACAAAGGTTTATGTACGACTAAATATCTTGGTTGTGTCTCTGAAACCTGCAGATACCCGTCCATCTGTCTGAAGCCTCCCTCCCACCCTCTCTTTACTTTCTCTCTGTAAATCTCAACTTTTTAGTGATTCTGGTTGGGAGTCTATCTCTAATTCTGTTATCTACTGGCCCAGTCTGGCCCGGGGATGGATGCCATCTGTAATCCATTTATCAGAGCCGGCCGCTGGGCCTTTTTCCAAATGACAGCTGGCCCTTAGCAATCTCATTATAAAAAGCACCAGGATATAATATGGAAATATGGGGGGAGGGGCCTCCCAAGGTCTGAAAAATGGACTGAGGAACAAACAGTGGACAAAATATCAGAGTCGCTGTTTTTCTGAAATATATTTACTTTTTAATCACACTTGTGCAAACGTGTGCTCCAAAAAACATGACTGGTTACACCAAGGACACATCACAAGTCTTATTTTTACCCCTACCCCTGATTTTTTGAGTGTCACTTTGCCCTCAGATCAATGTCACCACGGGTAGTGGTTGAAATCGTCCCCTATTAAATGGGACAACCTGTCAAGACCCTGACACGTCATCAGTAGTAGTTGATGGGGTTTACGTAAACAGATGCAACTATGGCGGTAATGCTGTCATCACAATGACATTTGCCATATATGTGATGGAGATAGAAAATATAGACACTCATGGTTGATTTACAACTTAAATTTCACATTATGAAACGATCAAAGAAGTCATCAAATAAAATACAAGCTTCACTACCAGGCAACTAGCAGTGCTCTGTAGGCTAACGATAGCAACCCATGTTCCTACCCTGCCAGTCCGCACTGATATTAGAGGAGCGGTAACAAGTGCAGCAACTTCACTGCTGGACTTTAGTTAAATGTCAGGTGTCATATGGCATCAATGAGGAGGAAATGCGACATGGAAATATGTCAAAATGCAGGACTGTTACGCGCAGATCAGCAGTAACAATGTAACGTTAGCTAGCTAGTTAGCTGTACTAGTGATTTCTTGCAATGTTTGTTACATAGAAAGGACTACAATAAGTTAAAAGGATATTTAACTAAGATAAAACAATGTTTATTGGAATTTTTAAATCTGGATTATCAAAGATAATAGATTTTTGGGGGGGTTTCTTTTGTTGCGTGTGCGGCCATCTTGACGCTGATTTCTAGTAACGCTCAGTTTGGAGTGTGCCTCTGAAAAACCTTCTTTTGGAGGGCCCTGACACACCAAGCCAACAGTCTGCTGTTGGTCAATGTCAGGCCGTCAATGAGAGTCTGTCACCCAAGTTTTTGCCAGTGAAAATGTTACAGTGGTTACTTTCTTTTTTATATCTCTTACTTACATAGTCTCCCTTTTAAACTTGGTGCCGACTACATTTTGAACAGTTTGATTCAATTTTATTCATAAAGCCCAATATCACAAATCATAGTTTGCCTCAGAGGGCTTTACAGCATACGGCATCTCTCTGTCCTTAGGACCCTCACAGTGGAAAAGGAAACACTCCCCAGAAAGAAGGTCTTTGGAAAGAAAAGAAAAATGGTAGAGCCCTTAGTGAGAGCAACTGAGGAGGGATCCCTCCTCCAGGATGGACAGACGTGCAAAAGATGTCGTGTTCGAGGTTCAAGCAGACGGTATTTTGAGGTGGCAAGTCATTACATCACGCTGGTCAACGGGCTAAAATTAGTGTGTTCACCTAGGTGTTGTATTGGTATCACTGCCAATCGGAGCTGATCAGAGCTGAAGCTGACAAATATAGAGATGCACCGATCCAGCTTTTTCAGTTTGGATACCGATCCCCATGCTGTGGCTTTGAGCAACAGCCAATACCTGATACCGATCCGATACCATGGTTGACCTAAAAAGCTATATACCTTTACATGTAGAACAGAAAAGACTAGAGGCACCAGGCAGTGATGACTACACAGTTCTCTCCTAAGATAAAATGAAACAAAATTAATGCAACGATGAACTATTTATGTTTAACAAAAATAAACAATTGTGCAGCAGCAGTTGAAATAATGTGAAATACCTCCACACAGCAGATTCTCTCCTTCGCTCCATGACGTATGACGTAGCTCCCGTCACAATAGATTTAACGGGAAAGGATCGCCTCAGGTATAGGTTGCATTTTACAATACCCAATCCATCTATTTTGATGATATCGGGGGCGATATTCCATCCATCTGCACTTGTCAGATCGGTGCCTCCCTAGACAAATACCCTCTTCGAAGTTAGTTACATTTGAACTTAACCACAAAACAAACTCAACTTAATTATATATTTTTTCATTAGAGTGCAATATTTTCCTGTATCACCTGTTTTCAGGAGCAACTTACCAGCTGCGTCTTTAAACATCTGTACGTATCACCTTTTATTTGGAGTCGTCATCCTTTCACTGATCACTCTGCTCACTGAGGATCATGTGACGTCAACAAATCCAACACGCGTGAAGATCAACAGGAAGTAGACACAGCAGTGTTCAACGCTCATCTTTTCATCACGCCCAGTGTGCTCACTAACCCCTCAACTCCTCACACACACTGTGTGTGTGTGCGTGTGTGTGTGGTGAGCAAGTGCTTGTTCCCCTGCAATTCAAATCCATAACAATGCTGTGCTCGCTCATCCAGAGCCAGAGAAAATAAGAAAGAGAAATCCAAGGGTGAAGCTGTGTGTGTGTGTGTGTGTGTGTGTGTTTCATGCACACACAGATTTATGTAGTCCTTATTGGGCCTTTGATCCAACGGGTGTAAGGAGCTCTCATCTCCCACTGTGATACTCATACACACATACTTATTGGTCATACACACACACACAGAGTCGTGTATCTCTCTCAGGGCTGCAGCAGCTCCCCACTGTGCAGACCCTGTCACACACGTACATACACAAAAGAGGGTTATTTTGGGGTCGTCTTGGTGAACACAATGGACGGACACGCCCACACCCACACACACACACACTCACACTCACACAACAAAAAGGTTTCCAGTTGCACGTGTCCAAAAGCCTTCCAGAGGTCTGTGAACATGACCGCCTGTACGTAAGTGTGTGTGTGTGTGTGTGTTTGCACTGTGACTAAAGGCTTTCAGCGGGACGTGTGCCTGCGCGCGCGCGTGTGTGTGTGTGTGTGTGTGTGTGTGTGTGTGTGTGTGTGTGTGTGTGTGTGTGAGTAATGGTTAATACCGGGACAATAGAAGTGTGCCTGTTCACTTGTTATCGGCTCACTGGAGACTCACAGGCCTGCTGTTTTTTTTTAACCACCTTTCACCATGAAAAGGAGGAAAAAAAGAAATGAGAGCGGGGGTCCCTCACACACTCTCTATTCAGCTACAGCAGCTCAAAGTGTCAGAGGGAGGAAACAAACCAACCTGCAGCATCTTTAAACACAGACATACTCTTTAACATCAACAACAGAAAAATAAATATATATAGACTTTAGAAAAATCTCCACAAACCAAAAACAGATGCTGCAATATAAAAACAAAACATAAATGTGTGCAAAATAAATGCATGAATTGTTCAGTAGTATGACAGAAAATAAATAGATAAATAGCACATCCAAACAAAACAATCAGACTCTGCCCTCCAGAGACAAGCGGGTCTTCATAGCGAGGTGTGAAAGGGTTTCCAAAGTCTCCAAAATTTGTCTGATTTATGATCCAGATCATGAGTCAGGTTCTCCAGCGAGAAAGCAACATTCTTATCTAAATTTATTCAGTCACTAAAGCCAATAAAGTGCATTGAAAGCAGCATTCGCAGGTTTCCTTTCAGCTCCTGCAGCTTTGCATTTAAATGAAGTTTCCTTGTCATGTGACGGACATTAGATGGAGCTGTTGGCAGGTTTTTATTTTTGACAGTCATCATGTCTGATTTGTGCAGGAGGCAGATTTGCAGATTTGTTGTTTGACACAGTGTGAATTGCTTGGTGTTATTTCTTCGGTTGAAATATGAAGCTGGATCTTATTTAACCATGTTATAAAGTGAACTGTAGTGTGTTTTATTTGAGTCACTTCACTTCTGCAAAAGTGTGGGGCATTTCTAAAAATTACATTTGTTTGATGTGTTGTCTTTAATTGAAGTCAAATGTTTTTTCAAATGTATTTTAATTCTTTAATATTATATTAAGACATTAAAATGACACAAAAGTTTATTGTTTTCTCAAATTCATAAAGAAAGTGTGATAAGGGTGTAACTGCTGGAGTTAAGGGGACTTTTTTTGGAGATAAAAAGGCCACACAATATATAGAATCCCTCTTATGAACTGTCTTTTACTGCAGCGTACTACACTGTATTAGAGTTGCAAGAATTAATCGGTGAGTTGTCAAGTACTTGATTCAAAAAAATCTCTGGTTCCAGCTTCTTAAATGTGAATGTTTTCAGGTTACTTTTCTCCTTTATGACAGTAAACTGAATAAATGTGGGGCTCTGGATTTAAAAAAAAAAAGACAAAATAAGTATGGCACTAACACCAGGGTGAACAGGGCGCTAAATCAGTGAACCATTGTCAGACCCTTACGTTGATTTCTCTCTGTCCCTCCACAGGGTGTCTGTCCAACCTACCACCCAACGCCAAGAAGATCTCCAACTCATATGAGGAGCGCCGTAAACAAGCCACCGCCATCGTGCTGCTGGGGGTCATCGGGGCTGAGTTCGGCGCTGAGATTGAACCTCCAAAGGGTTTAGCACGGGCTCGAGCAGGCGGACAGGCGCCTGAGGGCTTCGGACTGACAAGCGGAGGGTCATCCAACTATTCACTGGCCAGACACACATGTAAGTACAGTGATGATACACTCTATGCTGTATTTACAATCTGAGTATCAACAGAGGTATTTTGCATCCTGAGGTAGGCATGTAGGGAACCTCCCAGCATGCACCACGACAACATATTATCCTCTCTGCCTCAGGATGTCTGCCTCTTCCTCTGTCATCCTTCCAACATTCAGGTTGTAGTCACCACTGTAGCTCAGGTCCAGGAAAGTAGACGAGAGCAGGCGGCTGCAGCAGGAAGCTGTGACAAAAAGCTGTGATGAAGCCGGACAGATTCCCTACGGTTTCCAGCAGCCTTCAGTCCGTACAGGAAACATTTCCCATCATGCTCCGAGTCTTGCAGTCGATGGAGAGCAACCGCAGCGCCTGGCCCTAAAAACTGCAACCACCCCGATCTTACAAGATTATCGCTGTCCACTTTTGTAAGACGTTAGAGCAAGTCTGGATGAAGTCGGAACACAAAACTAACCGACATGAATTGTTCAGTGATCGGCGGTGAGACTTCTTCTTAAAGTTTCTTTAAAATGTTCACTTAAGTATTTAAGGTTTCTCCTTGTCTTGGTCTTATACTTAAGGAATCCCGAGACCGTTTCACAAAAGACCTTAGCAACTAAAGCAAGGTAACAAAAACTTAAGGTACCTCTGTCTCTATCTTAACTGCAACACGATCAAGTTTATGACGATAAATGAATAAAAAAAACTAACACACCTTGAGAAGAGTGTTCTGTGACCAGGAGAACCTGATGGATACGCTTTTGACTTGACTGAATTAATTTTCATTGCAATTTCTTCCGACAATTAGTTGTTTTCTGGTATTGGGGGATCAAATTTACTTTGTAGTTTGTGCTTTCTACAGAAGTATAATCTTTTCCTCCTCTGACCAGTATGGTTTTCTTGTCTTCTGTTCTGCCATTTTTCACTATCTAACTATAGTCCAACTTTGAGAGACGAGAACAGGCGCCACGAGCCTGAGTCCAACAAACAAACAATCTCCATGGAAACCTCTACTGCTGTAAGATCTCTTTCAAAGCAGTAAATGAGTTAACACTTTTCTTTAACTAAGGAAAACTTTTAAGGGATTCTGTGCAACTGTGTAAGTCCCTCAGCTAAGAAGTGTCATACTTAAGGAGAAAACTGCTGCGGCTGTCAGAACAGTAACTTTAAGATTATTATAGTAGCGTCCCTCATCCGACTAAGTGTTGACACCACACTTCGTATTTTACAAATTAGTATTTTGTTATTAGATGAACGTGGACGCTAATACGTAAAAATAAACTAAATGGGTTTAATTTCTATTTCTAAAAAAGCAAAATGATGGTCGGGGCATCAGGCAAGTATGGGCATGTGATCGGTATACGCTCGAACACCATGTAACACCAATAATGCCGACTACCGTGGCGAGATATTCACAGATACTGAGGTGTTCAGTGGTTCCTGTTTTGGTCCAGAATCCTGGCGTTTCCAAACTCAGGACGACACAACTGACAAAGTAGAAACTTCAGTGTTGGATTAGAGGTGAGCGGAGAGATGGGATTGATTTTCACCCACGAAGCTTGACACCTTAAGGAGCTTGGCGCTGACTTCCACACACACTCACACACACACACACAGTGGGGTCTAGCCTGTGCCACGCTGTGCCTGCAGCGTTGGACCTTGGTGGGCATCAAACCTGCACTAAGCAGAGCTGCTCTTCCATCCTGCTGCTCATGAGCTCTGATTGGCTGCCTCTGGGGCCATCCGCCCAGCGACAGAGCCTGTGCTCCCACTGATAGACTGTGGAGCGTGATGTCGGCCCTGGACACAGCGGTCAGCTCACCTGTGTGGACTCACCGGACACACATACATACACACACACACAGAAAAAACCCCAAGCTCATGTCGCCAGATGAAAACAACTCAAGGTTTAATTGATCCCCTTGAGCAGAGCTTAACCCTTTTAAAACCTTTCACTGACCCCTCTGGCTGCGTCTCATTTGCAAATTATGATCCCATCTAATTGCTACTCAGAATAAACCAAACTTCTCAAAATCATCAGTTTTTAATGTTATCTCAACATTAAAGGTTCAGTAGGTACCTCTTATATACACTTTCTGTCAAATTTGCTGCAGGGTGTCTGCAGGTCCTTAAAGAGTCATTAAATAGTCTTAAATTTGAATTTGTGAGGTCTTAACTGCTATAGACATTTAATCTTATTTCATTTACCCATACTTGAATTTCTTTTTGTGAAAATGAGCGAAGCCTTTCTATGTAAAAGTCCATATTTCAAAAATTATAATACTGTCGTTTTACTTTATACTTTCACTTAACTGTTGGCAAAACGTAGATGAACTTAACTCACTCTAATAACCATATACCTATATAACACTTACCTCTGCACAAGGCCACATCTACAGTATACTACTTGCCTGCAATGCTTACCTGCAATGTTTGAATAAGTACAACATGATTTGTCCAAAAATCTGTCCCAAATTTGATTAAAGGGTGACATGAAAGGGTTTTAAAAAGCATTAAATTTACCCGTCTGATACCTTTAGACACCTTGTCACAATATCCTGACTGTAGTACATGGGACAGATCATCTGTGAAAAAGTCTGGTTCCTCTGGCTCCTCTTAGTGCTCCTCAAGGCATTTGCAAGAATTAATTGCATCTAAACAAAATGAACGAATCAGAGCCAGGAGGAATCTCTACGGCAGCGTCAGTCACTGCTTGTGCACACGCTGCGCTGCCAACAACAGCGTACACAGCCAAGACGAGTAAACCGAAGAAAACCAACGACCGTCTAGCCCTTTGGCCTCACCAGGTGGCTACTTCCTGTATTTATCTTCATTCATACTTCTTTTCCACCAAAATTTACGTGTGTGCGGGGTTTTGTTTAAACACAGGACAACCTGATAAAAATAGGCGATAGACTGATTTCCCATCGCCAGTAGACTAGAGCGGTGTATATGACTCTGCAGCAGATGACCACGCCCTTCTGTTTTTACAGACAGGCCCGAAAACTGGTTAGTAAGCCATAGAAAGCAGCATGGAGGCCAATGAAAATTTAACAATGGCATTTGAGCACTACTTGGACGGAAACAGATGGTATTTTGTGGTGGCGTGTCTTTGCATCTTGCCGATAAAGGGGCTAAAATTAGCACGTTCACCCAGGTGTTGTATTTCCATCAACGCCAAACAGAGCCGAAGCAGATAAGTACCTACGACTACTTCAGAGTCACTTAACCTGGGTGTAAATGCCAGTTGTAACCTTTCCCATTACATACAACTAGTCTCGCTCACCAGACCTTTCTCAAGAAAAGAGAGGTCTGGCTGGGCCGACTCTCACTTTCAGATTGGAGAAAAAAACGCCCAGCTGCTTGTGTTTCTTTCAACCAATCACAATCATTCTGGGCGGTGCCACAGCAACGGTGCACTTGTAAAAATATTGCCGGGGGGAAACAGGTTTTGGTGTAACACGCCCACAAAAATATCGCCTACAGGACGTGAACCATGACTTCAGCGGGTGGCTCGTTCCGCCCAATGAGAGGCTGATCTATGTAGCGAACTTCCTCCCACTCAGACTACATACAACAGACGGTTGTTAGCGGGAGTTAGTGGCTTGTTTGTCATTGCTCTGTAAATATTTTTCTAATAAATATTCAATATAGCAACTTCTGACCCACCTGCATCAATTTCGGGCTTAAAATGACAACTTCTGTCGAGGTCACACCAATTTCTGGTTGAAACCACACCCACTTTTGGATTTAAGCCCACCCATACTGAGTATGATACTGATACAGATAATTTAGTTGGTTGAGCAGATACAGATAACTGTTCTCATTATCCCTAGTCAATACCACTTGGACTGCAAAGGAAACCAGAACGCTTCTGATTTCAGAATCTTGTCTGTCGCCTACAGAGTCTACATTCATATGCAGATAGTGTTTTATAGAGATTACTCTAACCTAAACCTTGAAACACAGGTCATATTTGGCCATGATGCTGTCATTTGTCTTAGAGGACAATGTCTGCTAACTGAGCTGAGGAAGCTGCTCCTTCAAACCCTCACCCTGACCCTACAGAGCGACTGAACCCTGTAAAACATGTTATTACTTAATAAAAAGCTCGAGCAGACAATTACAGGTGACTGTAAAAAGCATGTGTAGAACATTTTTTTATTCTTTCTCATGTTTGATGCTGCCTCTCCTTCCTCCATTTTATCCTTCTCTTACTTTCACTCAGTTCTTTTTCCAGCTCTCGTTCAGTCTGTTGTTTTTCTCCCTCCTTCCACTCTCCGTCTCCCCCCTTCTCCACTCTCTGTTATGAAATTGAAAGATGGATCGGTGTTGTTGGCATACAGCGCCGTGTGTGTGATGAATGAGAGCTGTCCACCCAGAGAGAGGGCGGGTACAGTAGTCTATACAGCCGAGTATAGATTGATGTTTTCATATGGCGAGGGGGGAAATGTAGGGAAGATGGAGGGGGAGATTGGGCCTAAGGAAGGAAGGAGGGAAGGAAGGAAGGACAGATGATGACAGAGGGAAGGGAGGATGTGATTGGACAGGATAAAGGAGACAAACTACACGTCTGTGTACCATCACTGGACAATAATGCTCACGGTAAATGTCAAAATACCTCCAGTCCCCTCTGAGGCCCGTTCACTGTGGCATTTTAAAACATTCATGAGTGCAGATTGGAAATTGAGGTTTATTTCGTATCATGGAAAATTGAACAGGGACAAGCAGCTGATGGAAACTACAAATCTCTCTGCTGTGGATCAGACCCAACCAATCTCTCAATTCTTTTTTTTTCAGTTCACAGTATGAAGACAATATAAATGCATTTAATTAATCTGTAAAAATCATGACTCCTTTACCAGCCATGCTTTTGTCAGTATGTGAGACGAACTTTAAAGGGTTTAAAAAGTGTCCTCTGTTCATCTCTTTATGTGTAGATTGTTAATTTTTAAGTGGAAACAAGAGCTGCACAATTAATCCAATATTAATTACAATAACGATTTAGG